GACACGTCAGAGTCAGAGTCATGACGGGCTTTGGCTGTAACAGAGCACATCAATAACTTTCCCATTACCTGCCTGTTATAGTTACTACGCTGATAGGCGACTTTTTGCAAAATAACTTTCCCCGCAAAAGTTGCTTTTCCCGTACGACTTCCCTTCCCCGTCCCGCATTCTACCTAAAATAATCCTGAATTTTCAACTCTTTCAACCTACATTCCCGTAGTTTTTTTTTTCGAGAGCTCTCCACTTTTCTCAGCAAACTGCCGTCAAGCTAGAGGGAGGGGAGAGGGCAGTTTAGGGCACGGGAAACGAGAAAAAACCTAGAAAAGTCAACAACCAAATATGTTTTTCTTGATGCCAATTACAATCTCCCCTCCCTCCAGCAAATATCTACGATCCGCTCGCTGGAACGTGCGACGTGCCCTGTTCGAAGCGCTCTTTATGAATCAGTGGAAAGTCCCGTATCCGCTCCATTTCAGAGGACCGGAGGACCGTAGAATCGAAACAAATCCGCGAAAAGGACCAGACACGAATCGACTTCATTCGTGTGGAAAATGGGTGAAGCCCATTCGTACCTAACTCCTTTTCTTGGATCCTCTAGATTTTACAGTTCTCTACTTCGGCTTCCATAACTTGTCTATAGTACACCAAAGCCGATGACAAGTCGATGTTGCCCACAGAAAAGTGGAACAGCTAGAGTATACTGTATATTCTTCAAGAAAGCATGGAGCAAAAACTTACCAGGTATTCGTGGAGAACTGATAGATTCGGTCTTTGGGCCCCTAAAGAAGACAAATACTGGATGTGAACTTTGCGGAAAATCTCTCCAGCACTCAAAAACATACCACTATCAGCAGCTGATGGTGAAGACGGCTCCTGTTTGATTTCATCAATCGGTTGAAAGGACCTTTTGAACTTTGGCGCTTCTCGGGCTTTCGCCTCCACCTCAAAATTAAGAGCAACATACATTAACCAAAGGACTCAGAACACATACCCCAAATCACGGAGATGGGGAAGGGCGTGACTGCGTATTCAATTTGAACAAGGTGTCGTCTACACTTCTGGTGAGATATTTTCATTTTGAGACAATTGTGATTCTTTGTTGGTCCATCAGAAGGCAGGATAAGTGACTCAAATGGAAATATCGCACAATGCACCCTATCCATCTCTGGGACGTGAGTACATAGAGAGCT